TAATAAATCTGGTTAATCAAACGTTTTATTAAGAACAATTTCTTTTTTCCTTTTGATAATAATTATTAGTCCAATCTGTTTATACAAATATGGTTAAGATATACGATACAATGATACAAACAAATGATACAAATCATTACTCACGAAACCGTAGCCCCTGCTTTTTCCAGTTTGTCTGTCGGTGATGACAACGGCTTCCTCAATATCCCCATAAACACTGAAATGTTCCCTGAGACTTTTATCGGTCGTATGATAAGGTAGACCGCCAACGAATAACTTAGTCCAGGTGGTATCTTTTTGCTGAGGTGTGGCACCCGCAAGAGCACCCAGCCCGGAAACAAGCTCGTCCGGGCCTGGTGCTCCCACAGCGCCCACGGCACTGAGACCGGCGGCACCGGGCATCAACATCCTCCAAATTTTGGCGATGTCACCGCCGGACGACAAAACCACTTGATCAATCTTGACAATTTATTTGGTACTTTAGGGATGAAAAGAAATCAGGCGTGCCGTTGGTTTAACAGCATCTAGGTCAAACTAACGCAAGGTTGCCCTTTCTGGAAATATAAAATAGTAATAATTTGAAAACATGTTCCAATCGGATAAAATTATCCTTAAATGGTAACCGATTTTATGTGATATGATTTCTTTCCCCAATATAATAATATTTTCTAATCGTTCAAAATCAATCGTTAACTCGTCATTAAATATCGCCTAATCTTAATTCCTTAAATACTGTTGATTTTTTTTTTTTTAATATTTATTTTATATAATCTTTAAAAATCTCCCAATTCTAAACTATTCAACGCATCCTGTCCTGCAGAAACGATCGAAAAGGAACGAAAACGGTTTTCCCTTCGTCACGAGCCATTTCTTTCTCTTTTTCTCTTTCCCTCCGTCTCTCTCTCTCTCTCTCTCTCTCTCTCTCTCTCTCTCTCTCTCTCTCTCTCTCTCGACGAATCGATGACTTCAGCATGTACAAAGCGAACAGATAAAAATCCCCCTTTGCACGGAAGCCGCGAGAGAAGGAGAAGAAGAAAAAGAAAGAAAGAGAGAGTGAGAGAAAGAAAGAGAGAAATAGAAAGAGAGAGAACTAGCTAGAGAAGTCTCGTCGAGGAAGGAGAAGAAAAGGGCAAGGAGGAGGGAACCCTGACCTCCATTCAAGGTTGGAAGAGCCTGAAAAAGGGAGGTAGCACAGCTTAAGGCCTATGCCTTGCTCAGGTAGACCGAGTATAGGGTATTTTTCGTAAGGTTCTCTCTCGCCTTTCGAGTTTCAGCGATGAAGCCTGCAGAAACGGAAGGTCCTCTCTTTCTCCCTTTCTCTCCTCTCTTTTCATCTCTTTTCCTCCCTCTTTGAGAGCTGCCTGAAGCGGGCTACGTCCCTCTCTCATTGTGCACACCAGGCCTCGGCAAGGACCTAACGTGTACCTCCCTCTCCGTTCCTCCCAACACAGCTCGTCTCACCTAGGTTTAGTCTCTCCCTGACCGTCGTTACCCCCACCACAAACAACACCGGGCCCTTTTACTCGGGAACCGACGTCCGTTCGTTCGTTCGTTTCTGCCGAATCCCCCAAAACGATCCGGCAGCTGCTGCAGAAAACCGGTGCAGCACTGCGTATAATCACATTGTTGTAGTGCGTTCGGCTCCTTTCCTTCTCCTCCTCTTCCCCCTCTCCCTTCTCTTCCTTCTCATCCTCATCCTCCTCCTCCTCCAACTTCTTCTACTCCTCCACTAACCTTTCCCACCCTCTCCCTCTTTCTCTCTCTTTCTCTATCCCTTTTTGCCCTCTCTTTCGGAACGTCCTAGACGTCCTCCTCCTAGTCGCAAACCTCACCAAGACGATCGGTTGGGCAATAAAAGCTCTTTACCTGAATGCAACAACGATGATGAACAACAAGATAAATGGCATTATTTGACGAATACAACCTGAACGTTATCATGTAAAAGTCTAACACGAAAATTGTCCATGCAATTTTAACGAGTGTTGACTTAACTGTCTTTGAAAAGATATAATAAATGCCGATGGCCGTACTTGTAATATTTTATTTATCGTCAATAATATAACTGAAATACGTTGAAAGATAATTTTCTTTGTCAATAAAAAAGACTTCGAAAATAATTATTATACGTTAAAAAGAAAATCTTTGCGTCTGATATGTTTGAACATTCTATATCTTACGAAAAAGCATATCCGTTAAATCCGAAGGATCAAATATTTATATATAAACATTAATGTTCATATATGAAAATTATATTTTATATAACTTTAACCTTGGAAATATATCTGTCATTTTACGGCATTACTTTTAAAATAACATTCATTTTCAAAATAATCTTTATTGATTTATGTAACTGGTTGCAACAAGTTGCTATTTATTTATTTTTTTTTTTTTTTTTTCCTTTCTTTCTATGAAAGTTTACGATTGTCATTGTTTCAATATGACCATAGATGACCAATACTATACATCTAAAAACCAAAAGTAACGGGTATTTGAAAAACCTTTTATTCTTTCTAGTCGTCCCTTCAGGTAGACGGTTAGAACCCTAGGTAGAGAAAGTACTGCTTCGAGAAAGAACAACAGCCGTTAAGCGGGAACACAGCTGAGTTAGTCATAACTCGATCTTCGTCAAATCGATTACTCATTCTGACACAATAGAAGTTCACGTCGTTTGATGGTAGTAAAGTGAACGCACTAGGATAAATTAAAATTTTCGATGGCATAGGACAAATATCCTATATCATCGTCACGACGTATATAAGCCGTTTTATCGCGCGTTCGATGCTGGCCGATTGCCACGCGCTCAATTTTGCCCACGAAAATATCTTCTCGGCCAAAGTCACAAAGGCCAGACAGAGAAAGAAATAAAGAAGTTTATTATACTAAAGCTACGAATCTTACGAGTATATAGACAGTTAAAACTTTGTAGAGTGAGGGCTACGGGGGTTGGTGTGCAGAGAGAGAGAGAGAGAGAGAGAGAGAGAGAGAGAGAGAGAGAGAGAGAGAGAGAGAGAGAGAGAGGGTGTGGGGTGGGGTTGAGGGGAGAAAAAAGAAAAAAATAATTATATCCGAAGTAAAATCTCTTCGAAAGCGAAAAAGGAAAAGTAAATAAATTTTTTTATAGTACACTGAAATATGTTCTACAACGTTTTACAACAAGCATTATAATAATAATTACAATGTGAGTTTGAGGGGAAAAAACAAAACGTTATTTAAATTTACAAGTGCCAAGTAAAAAAAAAAGAGAGAGAGAGAGAGAGAGAGAGATTAAAAAACTAGAAGACAATTTTATCGACGATCTATCACTGGAACTTTTTCTCGTCAACTTTTAAAAATTTCGAAAGAGAGAGTTTTCAATGGGCAGCACGACGAAACATCGATAACACGATTATCGAATTGTTTGCATCTCATGTGGAAACACTTGTTGAAGCACGATCAATGAGAAGGTAAATGCGTACGCACGATGGCCACTTTTTGCGCACATTTTTCAAAATCCAATTGAAATTCAATTTTAATCGATTAAATCGGGGGAAACAATGTTTACTCGTCGAGAAAATATGCATTAATAAATGAGAAAATGGATGAATGTATCATTTATACGTTCATCGTAAAAATATTATTTCTTGCTAAAATACATTTATCTATATATCGTAGAAAGAAGAGACAAAGAAAAAAAAAAAAAAAATAAAATTATGATAATATATTAAAAGTATACTCATATTTAAAATGACAGTCAATCGAAAATGTAATATATCTCGAAACATATGAAAGTAATTTTCTATCGTCATAAAATTGACCAATGCGTTAATTATCGATTAACCTTCTACTGTTTAATCGAATCAATCCGTTATTACAATTATTCTTAATGACCTATAAATTTAATATTAATTTTATTCGTTAATTATCGAATGAAGTAGAATCAAGAAAAGAAAAAAAAAGAAAAAAGAGAAAAAAAGAAAAGAAAAAAAAAAAGAAAAAAAAGAAAAGAAAAAAAAAATCCTCATTGGAACAGAAGCTAAAAAGACTTTCATCGCTTCGATGGTACAAAGATTATCGTTTATGTTTTATCAAATCGTTTGTTTTTTTTTCTCGTTTTTTTTTTTTCTTTAAAGAAAAACATCTCAATATATATATTTATATATATATATATATATATATATATATATATATATATATATATATTTATATCTTCGATCTACGAAAGGTTGGTAAACATGGTTTAGAATACTTAATATCTCTCATTTTTATCGATGTAAAATCTTTGTCGTGAAGAAAAGAAGAGAAAAGTAAGGAAGATAAAAAAGAAAAAAAAAAAAAGAAAGAAAGAAAGGAAGAAAGAAAGAAAGAAAGAACGGCCATTCGGGCAAAGTGCCGAGGGAGATTTCCAGGCGGATCGTGTTGCCCGAGGCAGGCAGCCTGGTCCAACTCGAAAAAGTTCGCCGTTCGTCGTGTAAACACAGACTTTTCCTTTAAATCCTATATGTCTACGGTCGTGGAACCATCGAGCATGATTCTCAACGCAATAATAACCAGCTAGCGAAAGTAGTCCTTTTTCGAGTGGCTAACTTCAATCGCGTTATAATGAACATATTTCTCCAAAAGTATACAATTACAAATATGTACTTTATACGAAGATGAGAGAGAGAGAGAGAGAGAGAGAAACGTCGAATGAAGAAGGAAAAATCGTCTGGTTTAACAAGCAACGATCGAACACGAACCGATCGAGACACCGTTGAGAAGCGAATGAAAAATAAACAAACTGCCTGTACATGTTGTATTTCTCATTACACATATAGCATAGTGTATATGTGTATATATATATATATATGAATACTATATATACAAACGGAAATACAAACTCGGCCATTAGGAATAGGCATTTTTTTTATCTCTGTCTTTCTTCTTCTTTTTCTCTCTTTTTTTTTCGTTTTTTCCTTGTTTTTTTTCTTTTTCTTTTTTTTCCCTTTCCACGAAGATGGCGCAAGTACACTCGATAGAAAACATATCCCTTTTCTCGTCCCTTTGGAAAAACCACATTAGAAATTGTTTATTGTTAACAATCGAATTATTTCTGTCTCTGTTTTACATACATATTACACACACACACACACACACACACACACACACATATATATATATATGTACGTAATGTATTCGAAGAAAAGCGGTTAGTTAACCGAGTCGAAACCTGCACTTCTCGGCAAAGCTATTCTTCTTATCAAATGAAAGTCCATTGAATGAATGTGCAACAACTTTCGAACAAGAAGAAAGTCTAAAAGACGAGGATTCTTTCGATCGTTTCACAAAGTTGCACCAAAATTACATACTTCTCAGAGTCATTCATACCGTTTCAATATTTTACGTTTTTATAATAATATATTTAAATAATTTTTATGATCGACATTAACGTCGACTTTATTATATAAAATTGCATTAAACAGTTCCGTTTGATATGATCAATTAAAAATGTATTTAACTACGTCATATAAGTTTAGAATTAACGCGCGAAGAAAATGCGAAATTGGAACGTTGCGAATAGATAATAGACATGTACAATGATAGATATACCCTTGCTATCACGATCCCACTTATATACATAGAGAGGAGAAAAGAGGGAGAGAGGGAGAGAGAGAGAAAGAAAGAAAAAGAGAGAGAGAGAGAAAAAGAGAGAGAGAGAGAGAGAGAAAGACAGAAATAAATTGGCACGTGAAAAATGTCTACGTCGAAACATATGTACGTCGAATATAATTGATAGGGAGAAAAAAAAAAGAGAGCGAGAGAAATAGATATATATATATATATATATATATATATATATATATATATATATATACATAAGGAGAGAGAAAGAGAGAGTAAGAGAGAGAGAGAGAGAGAAAAAGAAAAAAGGGAAAGAAAAAAGGAGATGAAAAAAGGAGATGAAAACTCACCTCTTTTTTCTTCGTCGATGTTTCTTCTACACTTGTGAGTACACGTAAAATAATCCCAGTGTTAATTAATAATCCAACGAATAAGTTGTACACCGAGAGCGCGTATAAACACCCAAAGCTCGTGCGACGCGACGTGCGTCGTTCGTTGATCGGACACGAACTATTTCTTAACGCGTTAAACTTGCTTGTGATCGACAAAGGGGTGGTAGGTATATGACGGTAGTAGTAGTAGTGTAGTAGTAGTGGGGAGAGAAGAACGATGGCACACTATCTTGGTGAAAAAAAAAAAAAAAAAAGGAAGGAGAAAGGCGACGCTCGGTTGGCGTTTTTTCGACGACGACGGCGACGACGACGACGACGACGACGACGACAACTACGACGACGACGACGACGACGACGACGACGACGACGACGACGACGACGACGACGACGATAACAACGCGACGATAACGTCGATTATTTCGAAGAAAAAAAAAAACGCGGGAGATTTAAAAAGATCACTTGTCGATGAGAGCTATAAGGAAGAAACTAAGGATGAGTTTTCTTTCTCACTAAATTCACGATGATGATGATGATGATGATGATGATGATGATGATGATGATAAAGACGACGACGACAACACGAGTGCCAATAATAGTTGTGACGGTGTTAGTGACTGTGTCGTGTATTTATAAGTATATATGTACTAATACGTTGCCGTTCTTTCTTATATCTGAACTTAACGCGAACATCCGACACGATCGAATGCCCACGTGCGAATGTCGAACCGCTTTACAGTTTGGGAATACCATACGGCGCGCCAGTTCGCAAGATCCCTCCATGTCGAGTCTTCTCATTGGTCGAAAAGTCTTCCCTACTACATAGTACAATCAGGGACGTCTCAACTAGTACATGAACCTAGTACAAATATATTAGGATATTTTTAACTTTCGTTTCTCTTACGCACTTAACGAACGAATAAGAGATGTTATTCTTCTGATAAAAAAAAATCTATGACAAAGATCGATGTTTTATTTCTTTTTTACTTAAACAGATTGATAGATATGGCTTTATTTCCCATCGATTCAAATATACATTACCTCGATCGAAAATTATTATCTATTGTTTGAGATAACAAATGATTTTGTATTTTTTCTTTTCCCCTTTTCCTTTTCTTTTTCTTGGTTTTTTTTCTTCTTTTTTTTTCTTTTTCTTTTTCTTTTTCTTTTTGTTTCGTTTTTTTCGAAAACGTGCAGAAATCGTTTTAACCGGTTAACCCGGATGATTACGTCACACGCGTTTCCTGCCCTCTTTTTCCAAAACGCGTCCGGCGATCGCACGAGGAAAGATGAAACGCAAACGTGTTGAGAGAAAGGAAGAGAAAGAGAAAGATAGAGAGTGAGAGTGAGAGTGAGAGAGAGAGAGAAAGAAAGAGAAGAGAGAGAAAGAGAAAGAGAGACAGAGAGAAAGAGGGAAAGAGAGAAAGGGAGAGAGAAATATATAGATAGATAGAGTGAGAAAGAAGAAAGATGGTGGTCTTCCCTTTTCTTTTCTTTCACCCTTCGAAGTAAAATCGTGAAGAAGAAGACGAACAGGGCACCGTGAACGATCGCCACGGAAGATTCATAACTACCGAGAGTAACCGAGGCAAGCCGAATTGTACCGAGGTAGAAAGGTATCAGCTGTTCGAATTATTATCGTCGTGGAGGACGGCAGATGTTCGCCAACCTGAAACGCTCCCTCGAAGGCTTTGAACCCGCTGATCTCTTTTCTTTCGTACGAACGAAAAACCTTTCGAGAAAAGCCCGCCGACCTTCCCAGCTGCGTTCGATTCCAATGCGTTTATACACATTTCCTTTTCTTTTTTCTTTTTTCTTTATTTTTATTTTTTTTATTTATTTATTTTTTTTTTTATTTCTTTCTCTTTTCTCTCTTTCACTTTTCTCTTATCTCTCTCTTTCTCTCTCTTTCTTTCTTTCTCTCGGTATAAGCAATCTAATCATTACTTAGAGCGAAAAACAATGATCAGAATGATGAAATTAAACATAATCGAAAATCTTAATTCTCAGAGATTCAAAGTTTAAAATAATAGTTACATATATGTACAATGACATATACTAATTATATTCGATATATTATCGACCAGTTAATATATATTTTTCTAAACGATGGATTAATTATAAAAAAAAAAAAAAAAAAAAAAAAAAAATTAATAATCAGAATAAAAGTAATCCATTTAATTTTGTTGAAATTGATATTTTCACGGATTACATATTTTCCAAGATTTCTCAATACATAAGATACTTTATGAACAGTGGATAGAGGCAATGAGGAAGTTCTGTTTGTTTATCGGCTCGTTTCAGCCTTGAAATAAATAATGTTCGAAACATGTTACTGGTGGAATTTTGCCTGAGCTAATGTCGAATGTTAAAACAAACTAAGGGATTATAGTTTTATCGTGTTCCATATTTCAACAGTTTTCTAAACGACGAATGACCGATCATAAACCTTGAAAAGTTGGGGAGCTAACGACGAAGGTAGGGATGATTTCGAGTGCGTCGTAGCAAATAAACTCTGCCGTATTTCGTGTCTTATAAAATATCGTTATTTCAAGTATTAATACTTAGCTTGGTTCTCTTATTTTCAATTCATTCTGATTTTAGAATACCTTCTCATTTCCCACTTTTCTTCTTTCATATTTCTCTCATATTATATAAATATATGTATATATATATATATATATATATATATATATATATATATATATATTAATAAGATAATACATAATAAGAATATTTGAAAAAGAAGAAAAAGAAAAGGAAGGGGAAAAGAAAGAATACATTTTCAAAATTTACACTAATCAAGTATATAAGAATAACAAAATGTTGTATTAATTAATAATTAAATTACAAAGTTAAGGTACGTTAAAGTGATCGTAAAAATCTTTTACGATATATCATAGAATGTAACAAATATACCATTACAATTCGATAAATGTAAGAATTGATTTGCGTTGTGAAATTAATGGGAAAGTTTTCGCTTTGCGTTAACTGATAAATATACAATCGGCGAACAAAGTTTCATTGCTATGAAACAATTCAACAGAGAAGGTAATTAGTGAAATTTTTTAAAATGATTTGCAAGTCAAGTAAGAAATACGTATGGCCGTGGCGATATTTTATGTAGGAAAAAAAAAAGAAAAAATAAAAGAAAGAAAGAAAGAAAAGAAAAATAGTACAAAGTCGAACTAAAGATTTTGAAACGCTAGAGTGAATGTACATATGCATGTATGTAGGTACGTTAGGAAATGAAACAACGACGGATTCACCGTCGTTGGCGTTACGGTAACGTCGTCACGATAAAAGCGAAAGTTTCCGCAAGTTTCCGTGTGTATCGCATCGCTTTCTGCTGTGGCCCATCGAAGCGCGATTTTTTTCTTTCCATTCACTGACTTCTCGCTCGCGACTCTGTTCATATTTCAATAATCTTTACAGAACACAAGGAAGATCTTCGTTATAAAGGCAGTACATTGTTTTATCATATTTTGCGCTTCGACGATTAACGATCACTCGTCGATAACTTCGTTGCGTATCAGATTCGATCGTTTCGCTTTCTTCTCTCAAAAGTATCGCGAGCGTTCATTTTCGTGCTCACCTGCTTACTTTTAAAATCCTTTAATTTCCTATTTCATTATATTTTTTATTTTTCTTTTCGGTATCACAGACATAAAATATATATTTTAATTATTTTGAATTTATTTGATGTTAAAAATGATTTTATATATATATATATATATATATATATATATATATATTCATGTGTTTATATTTACACACACACACACACATACATGTATATATATATATATATATATAAACATATTATACATATATATGTATATATTGTTTTCTTTTTTCTATTCTAGTTTCACTTGATATAATCTATCTATCATAAGTACATGTTATATCATAAATTATGTCATCGGTTTTCTACTTTACTTTGTCGTCAACAATTGCTATATAATTAATATTACAATATTTGCGAATCTTTCTCTCTCTCTCTTTCCTTCTCTATTTCTCTTTTAAAAACATTCGAAAAGTAAAATTTTCAAATTGGAGTAACCTGTGATCGATATGAGACTCAAAGTGTTAAATATCTCTTTCTCTTTCTCTCTCTCCCTCTTTCTCTCTCTATCTATCTATCTCTTCTTCTCTTTCTCTTATGATATAGTTGCATCGTCTTCATCGTAGTCGTAGTCGTCGTCGTCGTCGTCGTCGTCGTCGTCGTCGTCGAGAAAGGAGACCCCATAGGTTTGTGGCACGCGCTGCCAGCTGCCCCACAGCTGTCTCTCCTCCGTCGTCCCCCAAACCCTACAAAGTCCATGGTTCTTAGCCGGGCGTGCTTTGCGTCTACGCATATCCACACAGAAAACGAACCGTTTCGTTTCTCCGTTTGCCGTGCACATGTCGCGTGAACGCGCGCGCGCGCGCGCACACGCTTGCACGAGCACGCACGGCTCTGTCTATGTCAGTGCACGCGCTTACTGCACGCGCGTGATGCACGCACCAACGCTTAAACTTCTGTCCGCAGGGCTGTCTCTTAATTACTTTTTCTTTTCTTTTCTATTTCGACATTTTCGAAATCGCTGAAAAATTCGTACAAAATGTCACGCAAACATCATTAAAATTCAAGTCAACGTAGCTAACAATTTTTTTTTTTTTTATAAAAGCGAGAAAACAATCATTTATTTTTATCTTATCGATCCTACTGTCTGTGAGCAAAAGAGAGATAGAGGTAGAGAGAGAAATAGATAGAGAGAGAGAGAGAGATAGAGAGAAAGAGAGAGATAGAAAGAGAGATAGAGAGAGTGACCTTAATGTGAGAATTGATAAAATGAAATATATAATAGTAGATATATATTTGGAAACAGATAAATAAATAAGAAAATGTAATTAAGATGATATCGTGCACTGTACTTATCAGGTTTATCATTATTAACGAAAACTTCTTATGTACTACATCGAAAAAATATTTGATAGCTCTTGTAAACTCTTCTCGTTCAGTTGGCGTACGATGCTAATGTCGTCCCTGGCGATGCATACTCGATCGGCAGGCTCACCCTTTGCTCACTGCTAAACGCGGAACGACAAAGAAGACGGCCACCGGCGAGAATGGGGTAAAGGAAAGGGGTAGGGAGGAGGAGGGAAGAAGATTCGCGGGAAGATCCGTTGCGAAAAGTGATTCTAAAATCGCGCTCGTAGTCGGTTGCTAACGTTTAAACTAACATTTCTATACATATGTATGTACATATATTACATATGTACCTATATTCTTTCCAGTTGTTGTATATAACTAATGTGTATATATATATATATATATATATATATATATATATATATATCTGATTATATAAGATACGCGAATGATTAATTATAAAAATGGATTGGACAGGATTGAATCAATATTAAAATTGTTTGCAAATTATTGCGCAATGGACAATGATATAACATCTATATAACATAATCATTTATTCGTTTCTTCAATTAATCATTATAATTAACAATTATATAAACAATTTATTCACTGATGACATTGAATAAGTAGAAATTAATAAATATATTTATCACAAAAATATTATCCCTATTATTACTATTATTATTACATTCTCCTACATCTATATATATACACACGTCTTTCTACATTCATTGATAAAACCATTTTAACAAAAGGATTTCAAGATAAACCTTGTACCAGTTAACCGTTGCACTAGATTTTAACCGGCCGGAAATTCATA